TCGAAGCAGAGATTTTTCTCAGTCGCAACTATCGCAAGCACCTATGGGCTGTCAGCCATAAACAGATCAGTCTGACAGATTAGCAGACCAACAGACTCACATCCTCGATTTTGACGATCGTATCTTTACTAAGTCCATGCCCGACTTCAGCCTTGTAGACCAGATGCCACCATTTCCAGAATGTCTCCAGCGAGCTTTTATACTTCAGTCCCGGCGTGTGTCGCCCGTTCTTCCCCCTCCGCTGATCACAGCGCCAGGAAAAGAGAGCTTTCAAAAAACGGATCGTCTCCTCTGTGTCAGAGAGCCAGAAGAAACATTCCACCGGGTCCCGCTTTCCGCCCTCGCAAAACCTGGAATAATTAGCCAAATGCAATTGGAGAAACCATGGGGGTGGCACGCTCTCACCTGTCCCAATAGTCCCGCGTCTCATCCAGTTTGTCTTGGGTTCTTGGGCTGTAGCGTTTTTGCCGAAGCTGGGAGACATCGAGACACTCTGCCTCCTGGAGATAGTGCTCCGGTGGAAGCTGCTTCTCTTCGTCTTCCATGGGAAATTCATCCTCCGACTCCGATTCATCCTCGTCATCACAATATGTGGTGACCGAATCGGTTTCTGAGGCTTCGTTCGAGAAGATCTCAGGCAGTTCTGAGCTCGCGTCGCTCTCGTCGTCTGACAAATCAGGACGTGAAAGGCAAGTCATGATGTGGGAGCAGTGTCCGGCAGGGAATAGGGAACTGATCAAGAGTGTATAGAATCCACTCGAAACACCAGGGTTCTGCCGGAGAAACAGATTGGATGATGAGAAGATCGCTGGCGAGCGGGAAGAATGAAAATTCGGGAGTCATGGCGGTCGGTATTTATGGAATCTAGGGAATAAAGGTGCTCAAAAGGTGCTGAAAGGGGAGACAGAATGGCTCCTTCTTTCCGGACCTGGTTGGAACGAGCTCGCAGCGGCAGTATCACGAGTGGGACCAGGAACGGCCGGCGCTCCAGTGAGGTCGCTGCGGGGCTAGGCGCCATGCAACGGCCAAATGAGAGTGAAAGTGGCAGTAGGTCACATTGGCTGTGTCCTTAGATACACGTGACGCCAAGACCGTCGCCGGTGAATGGGAGGCTTAAAACGGCCCCCGAAGCGGCCTTTTCTGGCCTGCTATTCACCGTCTCATTGTTATGTGGAGTAGAGGATAGGTTTAGGCTCCTATATTTCAGATCACATCCACCCCACATTCTCTCTTGATCCTTCTATGCTTCTCGGACAGACAGCCATTCCAAAATAATACCTCTGGAGTCCTGGGGTTCAAAAGCCTTAGCTTTCCCTCTCAGCCGTGCAGTCGGCTTCTTGTTACTTATTACCCCTTGGTCTCTTTTCCCTTTTCCATACTCCCTTTCTTTCCTTTCCTTCTACTCTCCTATTAATCATGCGTTTCCCATGGTTGGTCCTCTGCCTGGCGGTCGCCTCCGCAACGCCCAGCAAGTCTCACCAACTCCGCCTTCCTTTTGTTTCTTCGCCCAATGACCTCGAAACCGGCGTCAAATCACTTCTGGTATGTGCACTCTCGAGAATACGCAGAATCCACGGAATACTCGTGCTAAAACCCACAGTCCATTGACTGGTCCATCAAAGATGGCAGCCTCTACGCCAATAACGACCAAGTCTACCCCCCATCAACAACAATGCAACTCACCGCGCCTCTCTACCGAGCCTCTCATCCCACCCAGAGTGAAAAGTCCGTGGAATTGACTTACAGCATCCACAGCCGTCCCCTGCCCGAAAGCAACGTGGGTTTGGTAGCGGGTATTGTCCGGGTGCGCGTTGAACTGCACGATCTACATGGGAACCTCGTCTCCCCAGACGCTACAGTCGTCGACCTGGTCAGTTTCCAGGATGGTTCTCACCAAATCACTCGTGTTAGTGTCCGACCCGCGCGCGGCGGTTACCAGGCAGATCACTTCGCGCAGAAGAGTGGGCCGTGGGCTGTGAAGTACTGGAAGACGCATGTCGGGTCGTTTTTCGATGCGAAGGAGTCTACCTCAATTGCCGAGAACGATTACCAGCCAACTGAATCGCAGCCAACTGAATCGCAGTCGACTGAATCCCAGGATCACATAGAGATCAAGGATGTGTCTGTCGACTCCGACGTCAACTCCAACACTGAGTCCAAATCGCCGTTGTCTATTTCGTCTTTCTGGGCTGCGCCGACTCAGCCCAACGATCCTTCTGATCATCGTCATCCGCACCACCACCGCCCGAAGAATGCTTTTATGCGTATCGTTCCCACGATTATGCTGCCTGCTGTGCTGGGTGCGTTCGCCGGTCTCGCCGCTTGCCTGCTCGGCTTCTTCATTGGATATCTTTTCATGTCTTTCGCTACCCACTTCGGGTGGCAGACTTCACCCCGCTACTCGCAGGATGTCTTGCTTGAAGAGGGTACTCATTCTGAGAAGTTGCCCATGGTGCCATGGCTCCATCTGACCGTGCCCGAGTCGGATGTATGACCGGTGTACGGTTGGCATGAGTTCCGAATTTGCTTTTCAGCGTTTTTTTGCATCACATACCTAGTATCACTGTTGCCTAAGGTGCTCGCTGCTCTTCATTAGTTCAACACGATAAGACCTATCAAGACATTGGCATTAACCACCGTGATAGCCAACTGGACTGATGATTTTATTCCACTTGAGTTGCGTGGTTTCCATCTTGACAAGCCTGATTTTGGTGAGCGAGAGGGTTTACACGTTCCGCTTGCGCACCGCTAACTACTATCTCTGGTCAGCTTGAGCACATCTCATATGGGATATCTGGGAGTCTTATGCTCTTTGCGGAAACTGTACAGCGGATTTCGAAAACAGTTTACCCCCCAGACACATACGCTTTCTTTCCCAGCGCCCCACTCAGAATGCGCTAATCTAACTTTGGCTAGCTGAGGGTACTTTTTTTGAGGCGTAACACAGTATTATTGGCTGCGGGGGAATCTGAAACGCAGCGGATCCAGAATAGACGTCCTTGTGGGCCTCTGGGAAAGAAATCGTGTGTGTGTGTTGGGGGGTAAACTGTTTTCGAAATCCTCTGTAGGCGAGCTACGTTAACAACGAAGTAGTCCTCGGAAATTACGAGTACGAGACGAGTGGGTAATAATATTAAGAAATCTCTCACTGGAGCTGAAGGGATCAACGAGATGTAACAGTGATGCTTCGTCTTTGAGACAGTTGTACCAGATTTGTATTCGTTCGCTGTAAGAACAAAGGGTTAAGAACAAACGGTTAAAAACAAACGGTTAGGAACTGAGTAAGGAGCGATAAGCGGCAGATTGCCCAACGACACTGAAAATTCTCGAACATACTGCTTCGGCCTTGAGTGGCACTCCGCCTCATCCTCAGCTTATTATTCATTCATCTGGATATATTTAACAAGAGTACGAATAAGTACCTCCATTACAAAGACAACCTCCAGACGGTCCTTTAGCTTCATGGCGTTTCCGAAGATGTGTTCACTAACACTGAATACAATAGATGAGCATGAAATATTAGACAGATGAGCTGTGGGCGAAATGCCGTTCGCTGGTCTGCGGCAGGGCAGTGAGAGAGCGATTACTTACGTACTCACCTGTAAGCCAAGCCAGCTGCACCGCAATATCCAATTTTATGTCCCAAATCAACAATAAGTGGGCTTGGTGTGATATGAGGTTGGTGCAGATCAGCAACAAAGCCGCGCCACCGCAATTAATACCGAGTTGTCTATACAAAGAACCAAGTTGATTTTAAATCAACTTGATCCTCTTGTCATATATATAGCCTCATGTTTCCTTCTCAATGATAATCAATCTTCCTTTGAATTACACCAATACAGGACCTGGCACGTCATGCTGCGTGTGGTAAGTGTGGATGACCTTTCTACAACGATCAGGATACTGACGACTGTTGTCGAAACAACGGAGCCCTAGACACCTTGATTCGCCTTTTACCAATCCCCTCGTCGGACGCCGAGACACATTCCGTCCACACGGCAAGCGAACCGTCTCCCGCTAGTGGGCCCTGTCCCTGTATCTTCCAAGTGGTTTTGTCAGGAAAATGGTGATCAGCATCGTATTGACCCAAACGGTACCTCTGGGATTCTAGAGGATTCGATACCAGGTATTCTCGAGGCTATTTTAACCCCCTCGATCCCAGTAGATAGGAGACAGGAATCAACACTCTTTTGATCTCATCATTTTTGGGTAGTTCCCCTTTTTGATTCCGTTGCGCCAATCGCCTAGTACATCCATTGTATTTCCCTAGCTATACAGGATATTCCTGTTAGGTTTATATACGACATATACAGTGGCACCTCATAAGTTTTAGGAACCTATTCCGCCTGTCGTAGTCCCGTCAATCAAAGTCTCCAAATCGAGAGTGGTAGCACCATTTACTGCGCAAAAAGGCTGTGTAATATTATACAAAGGCGATAATCGATGGGGTGTCAAAATTTAAGAGTGTCACTGTATTCGTACTAGTGGAGAATATAACTACACTTCCATTCAAGCATTACTCCAGTCCCTAATCTCCAATTCATCTAGATCATTTTGGTGGCGCGCTTTGGCTCGATAGGCGAGGACGCGGAACGGGCCGGACAGGAGACTGGAAGCCAGTTCCCGACACATTATTTCCAAACTGTGTCGCTGACAGGCAGTGACATACTTTGCGCCCTCTTCCTTTCTTCGCTGCCCTCTTCTTTTAGACCAATCTTATCCGCACACCGTCTCCTTGCGTCCTTCGTCTTGGTCTACCATCAGTGACTCTCGTTAAACAGCAAATAAAATTTGTGCTTTGTGGAAGACCACACTCAGTTCGCTGTCATGTCCCCTGGCAGTAAGCGTAATTTCACTTGCTCCTGGGAGCGCTGTGGCAAGGTCCATTTTCACCCCTTCCTGCTGATGGATAACATTTGCTCCCTGCGGATTAACACGATTCCTTCGCCAGTCTTTCCATCGCAAGTCAGATCTCTGCCGGCATTATCGGATACACACCAATGAGCGGCCCTATCATTGCAAAGTGAAAGGTTGCAACAAAAGCTTTATTCAGCGCAGCGCTTTGACTGTACACTCCAGGATTCATACGGGCGAAAAACCATACGTCTGCGACCATGAGGGGTGCCAGAAAGCCTTCTCAGATGTGAGCCTCTCGCCCTGGATCTTGGATCCAATAGATCCACTAACCACCACAGTCCTCTAGTCTAGCCCGCCATCGAAGAATCCATGCTGAGAAACGACTATGCATCTGCCAAGAAGAAACCTGCGGGCTAAGGTAAAGCGATTCTGGAACCCTACCATCCAGCAATGTCAACCAACTCACATCGCGGCTTTTTTTATTGTAGTTTCTCTCATAAAGCTGCCCTCACGAAACGCCAACGCGGCTTCCAGTCTCCGGGATGTTTCATTCAACCACCGTCAAAAGACTCGACGTTGGAACGTTACAATCAAGACGAGACTTCTGCAGCCGTGTCAATTCATAATACGCAAGACCAGAACTCCTTCGCACTGCAGCCCTTCTATCCACAATCAGCGTCGCCCAGCCACGAGCTCTGCTCCATACATGGCGTTTCGGTGGGCTCAGTGCACGTGCATGAGGGTTCTTCTGCAAGCGTAGCACAGAGTGTGCCCTTATTTTCGGCGACGAACATGCAGTATGTCTGGCAACTTTTCCCTCAGCCACACCACGAGATGCCCGCAGCCATGTCAATCCCCAATGCGCAAGACCAAAACTCCATCGCACTGGAGCCCTTCTACCCACAATCAGCGTCGCCCAGCCACGAGCTCTGCTCCATACATGGCGTTTCGATGGGCTCAGTGCACGTGCACGAGGGTTCTCCTGCAAGCGTAGCACAGAGTGTGCCCTTATTTTCGGCGACGAACCTGTAGTATGTCTGGCAACTTGTCCCTCCGCAACACTACGCCACTCAGCAGTACCATAACACCCACGATTTTTGCAGAAGCGTCTCCGAACTCGGACCGGAATGCTTATTGCTGTAAATATGGCGAGCTATGAGTCTGGTCTGGAGATCAATATGATAGTGCCATATTTCTCCTGCTCTAGAAAGGTGATATCACATGTGCTGCCTACTGCGGTGGCGGGAAGAAGAAAGCGTCAGGAACTGGGTCCGAGAAGTAGAGCATGATGTAGGAGGGTCGGCAAAGTGTGACAGTAACCATTAACCCGCTCTTTACCGGTAATTGTGCTGGGAGTTGAAGCTTGGTGGGCTTTTTAACATGCCCTTTGCGTTCTACTTTAACCAATCAACCGTTCAATACATTTTGGTTCCCCTTGGTCAATCTAGCCTTATCAATGAATACTTGGCAGAATCCTGAAGATTGTGCGTTTGCTGCAGGTAGCAGCCTCGCCCGTCTGGTGGATGCTGAGTTCACCATTGTAGTACACCTCAGCGTTAACAGAAACCACGCGTGTCCTGGACGTAATCTATTGTATCTCATGACACCACGTTAGTTCCCTTCTCACAGCTTAGAAGCACCAATTATCTTGGAGGCGGTGACACGCTGCAAAATTCTGGAAGGATTTTGGCAGGACAGCAACTAATTTTGTAGGAGTCCAGAATTATCAGGGGTGTCACAGTCATCTCAGCCTAATTGGGGTTAAGAGGGGGTGGCAGATGTTTCTGCCAATACCGAGGACTCCCTGGAAGTGACTACCAGCTCATACCACCCGGGACGAGCGAGGGGAACGAAGTCATGCAGCAAATCGTCAAGTTCCTGCGCGCAAGGCGGGGCCGTCCACGCATACTTTGAGCCGTTTGGCAGTTGTCCAACTCCCACACCAATCAACAGACATCGCATCCCTCGGTCTTCCAGATGGCGCTTGCGTGATATCTGCTAACAAGAGCGTGGGATTCGGTGCGACAGGTACTCAAGAAGAGCTTCATGTGGGTATTTCACCCGAGGCGTACCCAGTGACACTGCTAGCGCCCCCTCTGAAGGACCGCCAGGTCCTCACCTGCCAGGGTGCTGAAGCAATGGTTACTACTAAAGAACACGGGAGATGGGCCTCCTTGGACGGAATATTGCATGGCAGACCAATACCCCCGTCTGCTGACTGGCGCAACCGGGTCATGCTATTCATGGACGCCCAGGAATTGGACCTTGTAGACAGCGCTCATCCACACGGTGGAGAGAGCATTCCGGACCTGATGCCAGGCTGTCTTCATCGGGAATTGGTGAAGGCCTACACCGCGTTCTGCTCGCATTGTAGCAGGAATATCCGGAAGCCCTACTCCTTTGTCACTACTGGACTTTGGGGCTGCGGCGCTTTTGGGGGAAATAGACAGATTAAAGCGATAATCAAGTGGTACGCTGTATCCATGGCAAATGTACCTGAGCTTCGATATGTCCTGGCTGGCCCAGAGCAGAAAGGATTTGGAGATGAGCTCAAGAGGTTCGTCGGCCTGGTGGCAGAACACACTAGGAGAGAATTGGAGCCGCAGAAGCTCTTTGACGTGCTTGTCCGTCTGGGGACAGAGATCCAGAATGGGAAGTCCGCTGTTCCCAAGCCAGATGCGATTTTCGAATATGTTTTAAAAAGCCTGTAAGGAGTATTGGCTATGGTGTGGTCACTCATGATAGAGCCGGCTTCAAATCTAGTCCTATTCGAACGCCGGCTGTGGTCATTGTGGAGAATATAATGTATAATAGTATGGCCTGATATGTTGGAATGGGCAAGAAGCATGAGCTACATGCATCTTCTGCTGCAGAAGCGTCCCATTCCTCCTGCGGAGCCAATATCAGCAGAAGTGGTTTATCTCAGTGCACGGGCATATTGATGTACCTTTTGCTGAAGTATTGCTGTGTTTAACATGTCATAAAGGTCCACTGCTATTGCCCGTGCGCTCTGGTCCCCACTGCTTCACCTACCTTGTTACAATATAGAGCGCTGCAAGCATAGTGGCTGTGATTCAGCTGGAAGGTGTCCATGCGGAAGTGACCGGGCTATTCTGACCTAGGCAGCAGCAGCCTACCTAGACAATGCAAAGCGGGCGGAAATATGTCCTAATAGGGACTAGTGTGCTATAGGTGGGGCCTTAGGAGATAAAGAAAGAGAGATTGAAGGTAAAGCTAAATTCGAATATCACGGTATGTTCAGACTTACCCGACACAATAATGTCAAAGGCAAGGCACTTTCGACAAGCCGTAGGCCCGGGGCGTGTCCCACAAGCTCAGTGAGAGGAATCGTTAGTGAGTCCCAGCTTCCCGACGGCGGGTCATCGGGAGGGTCAAGACAGGTGAGCTCAATAGCCTTTAAGGTTATGCTGCAACCCTTGAGAGCAGCCAAGACCAGTTTGATGTGGTGCTCATAAGGCCTCTGCTGTGTCATATCATACACCTGTTGGTAATCGGTCTCCCAATCCTCGTCGTCCCGTCTTTGACGAAATACCAATATCAGTTCTTTCAAGTTAGAGAGCAGATTGAAAGCAAGGCTCATCAGGGTCAAACCCCTTCGTGTTTCTATGATCTCTTGCTGCTCGGCACATGTCCGTCGTAGTGTCTTATAGACACGCGTGTATGAAGGAAGATCACCCGAGAGGTATTCCATTTCATCCCAGTCCTCACGACTGTTCACGTCATCATAACTCTCGCATGTTTCGACATATGCTTGAGGACTTAGGATTTGTGTTTTGAAAAACTCATAATTTCGTATCTCTAATTTGACGTCAGGTCATTTCCCACGGATGATTCTCTCAGGGACACTTACCAGGCTTTAGTAACATTGGGGTGACGTACTCCAAGGAGACGATATACCGATGCAAGTTTGATTCCAGAACGCTTTCCAACAAGTCAAGCCCCTCATTCGAAAATTCAACGCTGAGCTTGCGAAATAGGGTGGGTAAGCAGACGTCACTCACTCGCCTACTGGAAAGGGAAAGCTGTTTGACTTCCCAATTGTCGAGGTACTTCACGATGCCGAAGAGGATTTCGGTAGGAAGCAATTCCATATTGTTCAACCGGTCGATTTCAGCCCGTATTAGAATCTTTCTGAAGAGTCGGGTGTGATGCTCGAGAACAGAAGAAAAGCGGGCCGTGTGGCCTTTGTATAGGCGAGGCTCTCTATATCGGGTCGATGATTGGCTTCCAGGGAGATGACTAAACGTAGTAACACCAATTGCAACAACAGAACAAAATGGATGTCGTGGGCCTTATGCCGAAAATAACATGGTGACCTGACCAGGACTAGGCTATCTGACCCTGCAAACTTGACTTCCACGAGCATGGTTCTTTGCTTAGAATAATTGGCCCCGGTATAGTATGTCTATTGAAATGCAAGAGCGCCTGTGGACTTCACATGTACCCCCGCGAATTGTAAATGGGAAAACAGAAGAAACAAAGTCCAATGCCGTAGCCACGCCCGAAAACGTTTGTACTCCTAAGGAAAACCCAGCCATGCATGATCGAACTTTGACGTGCCGCCTCCATCCGGTATCATTATTTTTGTCGCCATTGGGCGCACTCTCTCCCTCAAGGTCGGCAACATCCCGTAGAATATCCGTGAGACCGTGGACGCCTTCATCCACCACCGCTTCGGGTATCCGGACATCAACTTCTTCAATATACTTCAGAGGGTCGTAGGGGGATTCTCTTTGCTGCCTTTCTTGGTGCCGTTCGTGCCGTTTGTTGTTGCTTCACCGTTTGTGGCCTTTGAGCTTAGCGCGCGGTGCGGTCTGCCTTCTGCTGAAGCTAGGATTGCCTCCATCACATCGTCGAAGGTTTCGCATCGGCCGGCGCGGAGGAGTTCAGTGGCGAGGGTCGTGACTTTGTCGGTCCAACCTACACGGTGGAGAGAACCAAGTAGGGTTTCTTGGAGATCTTCGAGGGCGCAACTGGCTGACAATTTGACAAGGAGATCGGACCCCAGAGCGTCCGGGGTGGAGGAGACTCCGTTCGTGGCGGAGGAGGGCATTGCGGAGTGTGGGGTTCGGGTTGACGAAATGCCTAGGTGACTGTAGCGCGCGAGAGTAAATGGTGTTGGTCGCGGAGGTTACAGCCTGGAAGTTTCGAGGATTTGGTGTTCTGAGCTGCGCAAGAAATCAAATATTGCCTGGTTGTTCGAAGAGTGAAGGTTGGCAAGACGAAGGGGGCGAAAAGGGGCCTGCCCCCTATGACAGTGCGGGGGTCACAGCAGGCTAATTGGCATTACATTGCATCCATTGGACAATAGACATGCACAACCGAGAACAATAAGACGATGAAGCTGAATAGAAAGACTCAACGGACAATCGGACAATCGGGATTGCGGGTCCTCGATGCGGGCGGTGAAAATGTTCGGGTCCATTGTCTATAGTCGTATAGAGCTCCGAATAGACGAATGGAGTATCTCATTCGGCTATTGCTGCTATTTGGACTTTATATTTTTCGTGCTTTCTCGGAATGGTGCCTATATATATAGAATATAAGGAATTCTATTGCAAGTCAAGGTTTATGCTAGATGAATAGTGATATAAAACGACTCTGGTAGATATCGTTGAGAATATGTCCAGGGATCTTGATTTACGATTCTTCTGAAGCTGAAATTTAGTCTGAATTGATCACGAATGGACCAGCTGCAGGCTTTTCCAGTGCCCATGCAATGCCACCACTCATCACTTCATCCCATTTCTTGCTTCCGGGCAGTTTGTTTGATGGGCTTGAGCTGACTTGGCTTGACGCCCAAAGATACTTGAGTGGAGCACAGCACATTTCGTCTCCAAGCTTAGACTCAAACTCGAAGGACCGACGCTGGCGCGGCATCGCTTATAATTCTTATCGATCGTGGCATCGGCTAGATATGACCGTTGCAGGATATCATATCGTGGAAAGAGTGAATGAGAAGGTCGCCTTGCTTCTGCTGAATCTCTGCCACTGAACAGTGTGATAAGACGTCGAGGTCGACGGTTGCTTATCAGGTATGGGAGGAGGCGGGTAAGCGCATACCACTTATTACGGGATGGCGCACCCACTAATAGGTCTGTGCACACGATTTGGGGTAAGTTACCCACATATCAAATGCCGACAGATAAAGATGTTGGAGAGATTGGAGACCGAGAAGATAAAGTTATTGCCGTTGGAGAGGCACATGGTGGAGATTTCCCGACCTGTTTGTTTATCTATAGGTTAAGGGTCGTCGCTTCGTGTGACATGATGACTACCTAGGTATGTAGAGTGCAGACCTGGCTTGAAGGGGCTCTGGGTCTGCATTGATAGGTTAAAGGGCATCGGCGTGTGGAACAGGAGACAGATATGCGATTTTGATACTATTGGCTGGCGCAGGCTTCCAACGGGGGTTGCTTTCGTGGACTTCAGATTCCAAGTCGGAGACCAAAGTGACTGTGAAACAGATATGGGTTGCTATCTTTACCCACGTCTAGCCTAAACAATCAGTTAGTTCAGCTTTGTCCGACACGATTGGGGTCCTTCAAGTTGTGCCTCAGCCACCTTCCTGTTTCCGTAACGCAACTTATCTCGGAGAGACTAGGAACAGACCGGAAAGCTGAGTGCATTGGCATACATTGAATTCTGTATTGCATACATAGGAAGGCCCCTACCCGATGTCGGTATTCATATTACCCCTCAGATGTCGAAGGGCGTTGGGGTTATGTTGTTTGTCAACATGGATAGCGAGCGCGACTCAGGCAGGTTATTAGACTTCCCCGAAATTCGATTGTATTTAATCTGGACGGATCCGCCGGTAGCACTCCGAAGAAGTAGTTTTACTTACCCCAGAACGAAGTGCAAAATTCGTTTCTATATAATGCCAACGTCTTCCCGCTAAACAATCAGCCGAATCTCTCGTCTTGAGCGATAGCAAAGTAGGTCGGAACGAAGCCACATCCAATACAATGACTTCAAGTGTCACCACCCCTATATTACCCGAGGCAGCGGGATATGGAGTGGTTGTGGGAATTGGATTCTTTTTCGCCGTGTTGATGGCTTTTATATCCTTTATTCAGGTTGGAGCGCTCTTGGCAGGCACACATTCTTAATCATGTCACTAACGATCTGAAGAACAAATACACCCAATATTCAACCAAAACTAGCGAGGAGTTCAATACGGCCAGCAGAAGTGTCAAGCCTGGGCTGATTGCAAGTGGAGTGGTGTCTGCTTGGACTTGGGCTGCTACCTTGCTCCAAAGCAGCTCTGTAGCTTACGACTATGGCATTGCAGGTCCATTTTGGGTAAGATACTCTGAGAAATGCCGGGATATGCAATACTGACCTGTATTAGTGTTAGTATGTCCTTTGGCCATTCCGCAATATGATCGCTAAATATTCGAGCTGCAGATGCTGCCGGAGCAACAGTCCAGATCTTCATGTTCTCCGTCCTTGCATGCAAGGTTAAACAGAATGCCCCATACTGCCACACCTTCTTGGAGATCATTCACCGCCGTTATGGGGCTGCCACCCATCTCGTTTTTGTGTTTTTCGCATTATTAACCAATATCCTCGTGGCAAGCCAGCTACTTCTAGGTGGAAGCGCTGTCGTCACGGCACTTACTGGCATGAACGTCTATGCGGCTGTCTTCCTCATTCCAGTAGGAGTCTCCATCTACGTTGTACTCGGAGGTTTGAGAGCGACTTTTCTGTGTAAGCATTTTATTCGCCCGTCGTGAATTAATGATGTGCTTGTACGTGGATAAGGCTGACATAGACCTGCCAGGTGACTATTCTCACACTGTAATCATGCTGATCGTCATTCTTTACTTCATGTTCTCCGTCTACTCGACAAATGATCTCGTAGGATCCCCATCCGCCATGTTCGAGCTTTTACAAACTGCAGCGGTGAAACGACCGGTGGACGGTAACCTGGATGGCTCATATCTGACAATGAAGTCCAACTACGGTCTTATTTTCGGTGTGATTCAGCTGTGTTCGGGACTGGGTACTGTCTTCCTTGACCAGGGCTACTGGCAGAGGGCGATCGCCAGCCGCCCAACAACCGCTGTGCGGGCCTACATCATGGGAGGTCTGGCTTGGTTCGCAATTCCATTTGGATTCGCCACAACCCTTGGTCTCGCTGCGGTAGCCCTCACAGATAACCCTCGGTACCCTACGTACCCAAATCCCATGACGTCGTCGCAGGTCTCAGCGGGGCTCGCTGCACCATTTGCCGCAGCGACCTTGTTAGGCAAGAACGGTGCTGTGGCATTGCTTCTGACTCTTTTTATGGCTGTTACATCGTCCTCATCCTCTGAGCTCATCGCAGTTTCTTCGATTCTCACATTCGACGTCTACAAGACGTACATTAAACCCTCTGCAACACCTGAACAGCTGATCTTTGTATCTCATGTGATGATCTGTGTCTTCGGCGTGGTGATGGCTGTGTTCGCATGTATCTGGAACGCCGTCGGTATCGATCTCGGATGGCTCTTCCTCACGATGGGGCTCCTTATTGGCGGTGCGGTGTTCCCAGCAGCCTTCTCCATCACCTGGAAAGGCCAAACCCGGCTCGGAGCACTTTGTGGGGCTCTAGGCGGCCTTGTTGCAGGCCTCACAGCCTGGCTCGTCGAAGCTAAAGTATACTATGGTGAAGTGAATATCACAACCACCGGCGGGTCGTATCCGACTTTGGCAGGAAACATGGCCGCCGTTATGACCGGCCTGATCCTCTCGGTTATCATCTCCTATATCAAGCCGGACAATACTTTTGAGTGGGATGTCACTCGCGCAATCAATGCACCTGGGACCGGGCAGTCTGTTCTCATCGTGCAGACAGACGGCAAAAACGACGGCCAAAACGACGACTTGGCGACCTTCCAGGCCGGGGAAAAGGAGGTGCTCGAGGATGCAGCCGTTATTGACGACCCGAAGAAGCTGAAGAACGCCTTCGTTATCGCTGTCGTGACATCTCTCGTCCTTTCCTTCATCATGGACTTCTTGATCCCCATCCCGATGTTCCTGTCGCACTACATTTTCTCGAGATCATTTTTCACCGCTTGGGTCATCATTTCGTTCATTTGGGTGTTTGGCGCAATGACGCTCTGTGGCATCCTTCCTATTCTCGAAACAAGGAGATTCTTCAAGCATGTGTTTCTCCAGATGTTGGGCTTGGGTCAGAAATCGCGGGCGCAGTAGAATGCCAGATCCCCGGCAAAATGACAGAGCGAAAAGGAATAGAGAATTTCAGTGGAGTGCATCGAGCCCTGGATGGATCGTATATATTGGTTCCCTTAGACAAATGCGCGGCTAGGACGCGATCTACACACTTATATTTAACGTTGATAGTCTATGTTCGGGAATATTAGTATTAGCACCTCCATAGATCTCTTGTGTGACAGTCTGGACGCGGATAGTTGAGGATCTGGCGACGGAAACAATCATGGCTGAATCGGGATGATAAGAGAATGCGTTCCTTATCATGGCACATATCAAGCATCACGCCACTAGATAGATTCCTCTTCCTTTTCCTCCAGCCTTGATACCTTCGTTGTATGGTACACTCTGATCCAGGATCTTTCTCTTGATCTGTAACATCTGGCTTAAAAGAAAACCGCCGAAATTAAAGTGTCTACACAGTTTGTAGTGCCAATATAACACCATGAAAACTAGTCTTCCGTAAAACCCCAAACGGGGTCTAACTTCAGGATACCAAACCCCATTACGAATAATCATGCATAAATCTGCCGACTAATCAATACCAGAACTAACTAGTTAACTCTAACTAGTTAACTGAAGGATAAACAAGCGAGAGTTCACGGGGGTTGAAATACCCATGGGTACTGCCGTTACTCGGATGTTACAGGTCCGAGGAGGCAAGATACGCGGAATCCAAAAAGGGAGTATTGCAAGATGATTGCGTGCAAGGTTTGTATAAGTATTATCTACGATTAGGTACCATGCAGGTCCCTATATTCCTGGCAGGTGGTTACCCTGTATTAGTAGCTGTCACAGCCAGCTGATACAGTATGGCATTGTATGCAAGAATGGGGCTAGCCTACCAAGGGGAACCAATCCAAACGAGAAATCGTGAATTGAACTAAAGAAGAGATGAGAAGAGCGGATTATGCGAGGACACATTAGGGTGTCCTGGCTTACATCAGTAGCGAAAGTGGGTTGAAAGTCCGGATTCTCGGAGTGTCGAGGATCCCCTAGTACAAACATAGAAATCACGAAAAATAAAACTAAACTATTTATTTTACTGCCGCACTATCCCCGACAGTAGCAGCCCCCAATTCCTGGTAGTCATATAACGTGTTGGTCCCACTACTTGGATCTCTTGCTCCTAAATTACGCTGCACTATTGACAAAACTGAGCTTGGTCAACTCTGTGCGATTATACAAAAATCACTACCAAACCTCACTAAAGCCAGCTGCAAAAGCAACAATGGCGACTACAACCTCGAGAACCGGCGTCACGTCTGGCGGGTCATCTCAAATCGGCAATGATCCCAAAAACCATTGGCAGTACAATCCAGCCACGGGGATAGTCGACCTTGTGCGCAAAGACTCGACTTGTGCAAGTCCGCTCACCCTGAACACAGCAACGAACCCCATTCGGGTCGACCCCGCAACGACCGCGCTGCTCATTATCGACATGCAAAACTTTTTCCTCTCCCCAGCGCTGGGCAAACCGGATCCCAGCCCTGGCTTGAAAGCCGCTGACATGCTCCTGAAAACGGGGATCCCTGCAGCGCGAGAGAAAGCCATCCGCGTGGTATGGGTGAACTGGGGTCTGACAGACGAAGAAGTTGAGTCAATGCCACCAGGTATGATGAAGGCATTTGGCATTTATGAGAGCGTTGGCGGTGTCAACAACAAGGACAACGGGCCAAAGAAGCAGCGAAGTCACAACGTTTACAAGGGTTTAGGCGCTGATTTAGGGCCGATCGAACTTGAAGACGGCACTATCATTGGGGCGGGCCGTGTTTTGATGCGGGATACGTGGAACGCCGCTCTTTACAGACCTCTAGATGCCGAATATCGAAAAGGGCTAGAGCGATCCACAGACCCGGACGTCTTGATTCACAAGAACCGCATGTCCGCGCTTTGGGGTTCTGGGACAGATCTCGAGGTGTTTCTGAAGGAAGAAGGGATTACGACACTTCTATTCACGGGGGTCAATACGGACCAGTGCGTCGGCGGGACGCTGACAGATGCGTTCAGTAAAGGTTTCGACTGTGTCTTGTTGAAGGATGCTGCTGCGACAAGCTCTCCGCCTTGCGCGACTGAGGCATGGGAATGGAACTGCGCAAATACTTTTGGATTCGTGAGCTGGTGTGGTGCGTTGTCAGGGGACGAATACGCTATTCTTGATTAGGTGTCTTTTACATAAAGGTATCTGTAGCCTAACAGTGTATTCAAATGTGCGATGCCTCAATATTTGTAACCAACCACAGTCTTATAAGGGTTGTCCTTCTCTGATACGCGTCACTTCTTTCTAGCATAGAAATGATATTCAGTAAAAAGCCTCTCATTATGTATTTTATATCTGGCCAATCTAACAATAGATTTTTCATCTTCGTCTCGCACAGATGTTCCTGTATAAGCCTGCAGCCCGGCAAAGGATCCCATGACGGGTTGAAAGATGGCGATAAAGGTAGCAACTACAGTAATCTGACAAGACTTCCGCACGACCACATATGACCCGGGCTGGGCTGGGTTTTGGGTCGAAGACTCCGACCAGGATGTGGTTCAGTCTGGACCCTAAGAAATTCAAGACAAAGCCAGCCAGAAGGGCCCTCAGAGAAATGAAGCGCCGCGCTGGCCCCAGCCCAGGAAAAAGGTTAGCCAGACAACGACAATTTGGGGCAACAGGATTTGAATGGAGCCTAGTCGTTCCCAGCCCGCAAATCACTGAGTTAAACTATAACTTCACACCACCCGAATACCGGGTCCTGGGAAGACTCCACCCCCGTGTTTCTCGAACAAGCTCGACTATACGTGCTGGCCGACAAATATTGCATAGTAGTTTTGAACACCAACCGCCCCATGATATCGAGCATGACAAAATATGTAAGTTGTCAGGCTAGATAATAATTGTTCACCTAGAAACTAATTAACCAGGTTAAGTACCAGTTGAATCACCACACTATTTTATGCAATTTGGTTACCAAACATCTAATTACCTCCTCCCACCATTTTCTGTCCGCAGTATCCTACTTTTCCACTTTCCAGCCATATTGAACTATTTCTCTTGATCATAATAGCCGTGTTTTTGTTTAATTCTTAAAAGCTTTGACGCTGGCTACTCAACATGGGCGTTCACCTCTCATCGAGTCTAACCTTCCTTCTGCGGCTTTAATAAACACACCGTCTGCTACCGAAAGGGAAGCATTAAATTTGTATTTATAGGTAGCTAGGGAAGCTACATAAGTAAAGCTGCCATCAGACATGATAATTCCACAATCTGGGGACCTCTCTGAGCAAACTGCGGTCAGCCCGTGCAAGTGTTCATGGCATCAACAATTATAACCAGCGGGGTATTCGTTTCACAAATTGAACTTTTCCATTGCCTCATCACGTTCTCGGCCAGATTGTAACTAGCCACGCTCGGCCTTTTTTGTTCCTCGGGTTCTATTTATTGTGTCAATTTGAGGCATATTACTCAGGCAGCTTAGCGCTTCGCTTCACATGGAATCCCTCCTCACTTTGATGGCTTCCATAACACCTCCCTCCGCAACCCGGTGTCCGTTAAGATCTTGCGAACGAAAGTAACAAAAAACCGCGTCTCATGCGAAATAGAGGGCGGTGAGTTTACAGAGACCAGTTGGCCCATATTCAAATACAGTGTCCCTTTCCTTAAAGCATTGTAAAGGCTTTTTCGTCTAGTTGAACACTACAGTTTTTACTCACGGAGAATATACCCAACGCCATTAATAAACTGCTCATAGTGGGAATATTGTCTCGTAAATGACACCTTTGACTTTCACACTCGGCTCATCACAAGTGACAGGTTCAATGTCATTTTCAATAAGCAAGGGCCTTAATCAGCAGTTTGAGGTATTGCAAAAGTGTAGTGGGCTACCCGTTCTGTCGGGCTTGTAGTGCCGCACCAGCCCTATTCGTTTTTCAACACCTTATTCGAGCCAGTGGAAGCTGTTATGGGCTGGCAAGTGTACTAGCTATCATTTTATTCTGATTTATTTTCGACTGAACTTCCTTGTATTGATGGCTCTACCCCTGGCAGGCGTGTATGAAAGCTTCTCTAGGTTTGAAGTGAAATCAGTCTGACACGCATGTCCAGATTTTAAAAAAAGCATTTGACGTATAGTACGCTGCATTACCGATCTCGCAGATATACATTGTTGAATAGATTCTAGTTTAAATCCTAATATTAAACTACAATAGAGAACCGGCCCTGCCATATCGATCTGTTGATAGACCCTGTTTCCGCCTTAACTAAGTGGTCAACATGGAATGTGAAAACCGCAGTGAATATGTGGAGTGGTTTATTTGGACAACTCCACTCCGAGCACACAGACTCGCATTTTCGTGACTATAGTGTCCAAATTGAGGTATCATCTTTCCATGATAATGGAATGAAGACATGTCTCCCATGGAAAACCCTTCTTTAACCGGGCCCTACCACCGGTTTAAAGGCTTTCTATCCCGTCTACTTCGAAAGGTCTTCGCCTTGTTGTACCTACATGTTGCTATAAATTACTCGCTCCATAAATTTCTCTGTGACAATATATTTTGTCGACATGGAAACCAGCTATCGCTTTTCGGAACCCCGAAGCACACTTGTCCACACCAACGGCTCTGTCGACCCGAGATTCCATTTATGCGGCAGTATTATCCTACTCTGCTTTATCTACCATATGTCCGAGTGCCCTTCATCCATAACCAATACGGCCACAGCTTTGGTTTCTCTCTTAGTCAATCTCATTTGTTTTGGGACTTCTACCTTTTGTCACTACGTGTTGGATTCGGGAAAGCAGCCCCCTTCTTCCTACTTCCTGCTGGATCACCTTGGAATTATTCTTCACATATGGGGGACATCTGTATCAGTCTTGCTTTTAGAGGCTACTGATAGCGGGAACAATAATTCCATTTTCCTGGGAGTCACACTGGGCGGGGTAGTCTGTGCCACTTACTTGATAGCCTGGCCAAGGGAGAAAAGGGAACGAGTGCAGGTGATTGGAGGGTTTGGAGTCTTGGTTTTATGCAGCGTCTCGCTCTACAACGCTGTCTTTTCTGGTATATCTCGACTGACAGCCTCTTATATCTTTATGGCTTTGGTTAACGGCATCGGAGGGTGGTTCTACTCCCATGGGTCTATTCAAGTCCTGAGTCAACGTTCACCCAAGCCCTATACTGTGTCGGGGCATACGTTGATGCACCTATGCTCCCTGATTGCATCTATATTTCACGCTTCAATCTTGGTCTCTTCTGTTTGTATCTGACAGACTTGAGCCCCTGATCACATGAGGTTTAGATTTCGGCTATTTCTATGACAATTCGGTCATGTTTGTTGATAACGTCGATGGCACGTAAGATCCGGATCAGCTCGGCGGCGTATACCGACCATCGGCCTATCGGCTCGACCTGAACCTGTGATGATTCTGTAATCTCTAGGCTGTCGTCCAGCGCCACGGCTGCAGCGCCCAGGCTGGGTGCTGACCTTGGCGCTCTGACGCATCCGAGTAGAGGGCAATGCCCCGGGTGGTTTTAGTTCGTTGTACAGCAATCTCCCTGTTTGGTTCGATTTCGATCTCATGGTGGTAGTGTTTTGGGATCAATCATTTCCAGTTTCTGCAATCCCTAGGTTCATTTCTTTTTTCAGGGCTTCCGCGAGTGAGATATGCGAATACGATCCGATCCTGTTTCTCCTTTTCTGGGCGTGTTGCAATGCATTCCATATTGGGTAGTTTTGCGGAAGTGTAGGAAGACTGGTGCTGGTAGGTTGTGCGCACTGGCGGAGTCGGAGATGCGTTTGCAATACGTTTGCTTCAACGTCTAGCGCCGCGGTGGCTACTATCCGGGGGAGGGACAGAATACGGATGAGTGCAGTCCTTTGCACCGTGCCCCGAGGTCATTACTTTGCCATTCATGAGCTCATGGTCAGTTGGCTTTGTTGCTGGCAACCATTCGCTGAAGATTTAGATCGATACTCTGCATAACCTCCCAGCGTCTCAATGGATGAATGTTGGCAAACTAACTTGTCGTGGAAATCTCTAATGGTGTATACGCAAGGATGACACAATACGATCTCACTCCTTTGCTCGCACTATATTTCGGCGAGTCATGAGCCCCAATACAGAATCGAAGCCCCCAATACTAGGGAAAGTCCTCAACGGCACAGCCTTGCCGCCATATACTCTCGATGACCTTCGTGTTTTCCTAAACCACAACCACTGCGTTGAGATATTGGGTTTCCTGGGATATGCAAAAATGTACGGAGAAACCTATGCTTCTGTCCATAGTCAACTGGGCAGCCTGCCATATAGTTCTCTGGGCTGCCCGAGGTAGATCTACTTCTCCACCTTTGGCAAGGCCTCATATTGACGTTTTTTGCCTACATGTCTCGGCCCTCAGGAAATTATTGCGGACTCCTTGTGTCGGGACATATCCTCCCGTCAGAATAAGCAAAGACACTTTATACGTAATCTTGCTAAGCTGCGGCTCCCGCCGTATGGATTCAGGGGCATTGGACCACGACCTGGGACACATATATCTATTTTACATGAATCAAAATTGACTTTTGCTTTGGAAGCATAACAACTGTCCACTTAACTGTGTACACAGTACCTATCTGGTGATACCAACACCTTGCATTTGCTTTTTCATTTGCCAATGATGCACGGCTGTCGTTTTCGGGCATCAAGTAATCTACAGTTGGAGTCGGAAGTCAACATCGATATGCGAATTCGCTTAATCTAACCTTCGGTGTCTACTGCGATGAGAACTGCCACACTCGATGAATGAGCTTCATTTAAACTCCCGATATGATGTATACTGAGGTACAGAATCGAGCGCTTCTACTTGTGCCTCTTCAGTAGTCCTTGACATAACCTCAAGGTCCATTCGATCCAATCTGATCCACTATGAAAAGTAAGCCCCGGCCAGCATCATCAACTTTCGCAACTTGCTATACTAACCCTGTATACCTCTGAACGGTCCGCTGCAGCAACCTTGTTCCCAGTACTTGCCTCAAAGCTACTGAAAAACCTCTCCGCGGATGAGAGAGTAGCAATCACCATGGCTCTTCCATTTGCTTGATGACATTCTTTTGTAAATTGTGCGTAGTACCACAGCATGAACTCTTTGATTATGGGAATACCGGGCGCAGAACATCCCTTCTTCAGCTTATAGCCAACTGGAACACTCCCAATGTCGACAAGGAACCTGAGGAATCAGAATATAGGGAATTTGAGAAGGCATATTGTGGCTACTCACTCAACCCAAAGCTCAACGTACCTTCGGTGCATGACTTTGACAGCGGCAGCACGAAGATTTTGTCTTGAACGTGCTAAGTCAAAAGTTCGGACATGATTTTCCATATCTCAAGGTTGGAAGTGGACGCGGGATGAATACGAGTACTCGAGGCAAAAAGAGTAAAAGAATGAGCCGGTTTGTTATAATTGCGAACTATTTATTAGAGATAAAAAGAAAGGTACTGCTCGGTGCGAGTCGAAGGCCCAAATCGATAACAGCCTCAAAGATTTGTTATGTTAAACAAAAACACATTGAGAAATTGCTACTGTACCCTGGGTAAGAGGAGCATTTCAAAGTGACGGGAAAGCAGAAAGTAAGATTTGCGGATAGAAGATGCTGGGGGCTGGTAATTTGATATGTTCATTAATCAAATCGCACGGGAAAAAGTGGAGTGGATATTCGACGGCGTAGACAATCTCGTCAATTAATTTTATGCCTATATTTTATTTCACATACCCGTTCCACGGACCGGCCTGACAATCATTTGGTCATCTTAAAGATCCTTGGAGCATTTGACGCGTGAAAAAAGTAAATATAGAAAACTGTTTACTTCTGACCCCGGTTGAGCAGATTGTTCCTGTCGTCAAATCTACACACCCTTCTCTGCCATTAATTGATTGCCTGTTATTAGTATAGTGCCCTCAACCAGCTTCTGTTATCCTATAAACTTAGAAGTCCAAGTTACCATCAAACATCGCTGTTAGATCAGGTAGGGCTTTGAATTACCCATGATTCACCATCCAATAAATTGTGTAATCCCAGCGCTCCGCATTTTCCTACCAAAATATTACCTTCTTGACTTTCCAGCCATGTTCCTGACCAGAGCAGAAGCTAGCCATGCTCGTGTTCTGGTTTAATCTCTGTGTATTCTGCCAACTTGAAGCGTGTTACCCGTGCAGCTTAGGCGGCTTCTATCAAAACAACTGTTTTCTAAGATCATATGAACATGAGTGGCTTGTGGAACTCGGCCCGGTGCCAAATTCACGGAGGAACCCAATGAGCTCTCATTGCAGTCAGAGGTCCTCGTCGTATGATAATGTGAAGTATCATGAGGAAGTGAAGGTTTTCCTCGGCGTCGAAGAGCCTTCTTCCGCTTGCTCTTTTCCTCGCCCTTTTTCCGATGCCAAACAGCGTAGATACTGCTATGTTATCCGACGGTGTGACCAAAATCTCGTTCAAATTCAGGCTCGATTTGTTTCTTAGGAAGATGTTTCCGAGCCTCAAACCATTTATGAATAAGATCCTTATCATAAGGGTCCCATGCTTTGCCGTTTTTAGCTGAGGGCCTCATATGTCAACTCCATGTTTCTTTTTCTTAATTTGTTGCTCTCATACCCAAGTTCTTCATTCCCCTCTTTGACAAGCTGGTATTTTGCGACTCAGTCACCACTTGCTCTGGAAAATTTGGAACCTGAACTTCTGGAATCATGCTTCCTTGAGAAGCTATCGCAATAAAGATGAATGAGCGATTTTTTTAGGGGCTAGATGAATTATTGACACATACAAAGTGAGTTCGCCTTTTCCTTCAATTTCTCAAGTAAGTACAAGTCGTATTTACCAGGAGGGCGCCGTTTCCGGCAACCCCCACGTTGGGTTTAGCGCCCGTCCCGTGCCGCCCTATTCTAGTTTAGCGTCACCCCATCGGGTATGGTGTCTCGCGCTATCCCCCAACGGGAACTGCCCCCAGTCGCCGCCCTCGGGAGCCCTTGTCAACTATATAGTCTAGACGGTGCGTCGCTCGACCACCTCTCTCTCCTTTCCCACGGCCGTACGTTCTCCTCAGCTCGCGAGCGCGGACATCACTGCTCCGGCCCCCCTGCATTTCGGAAATGATTGTTCCCACAAGGAGTGCTTCGCCCCCTTCGCTTCCCACTCGTGTCACTGCGAAGTCGCTGGCATCCACCGACTGATTCGACATCCGCCGCGTGAGACGCTGATCTATCATGGATGGAGGGATGCAACATGGCTCGCGAGGTGTTTTCGCCTGCCCAAATTGGCCGCCCCCAAATGGTCTCCTGGCCATTGGGAGCTGCCTATTTCAGCCCGGTTCAAACCTCTTGAAGCAATCTTTCCTATTTGGGGAAACGCATACAGCCCATATCTCATTTCCGGGGCGGGACTATGACCTCTCGATAGGCATGTGGTGTTGTTATCTGCTCGGCGCAGCGTAACCACCAATGACAAAAATGCCTCCTGCGTCCCCGGGTACCCATCATCCGGTGTGGGCCTGAAGGCGCTCCATTGATTCCCAACGGATGATGACTTGTGAGAAGGCTCGAGCGGGCTACGTGATGATCTGTCGAAATGGCCGCGGAATTAACCCAATGGTGGGACAATTATGGGGTCACACTCGTAACTGTAACCGGACGATGCATCGCTTGCAGGGGACTGCGCTGGTTTTGGAACCGAGATATTGCGGATTACGGCTCTGCGAGGCTGACGTGGAACTGCTCGCCATAGTTCACGGAAAAGTTAGAGGGATCAATCTAGGAATTGGTCACGAAGGCGTCCGCATGTCCGAACAGTCCGATGGAGCCGCGGAGAATTGGTGTGCTTGTGCATGAGATGGCAGCCATGGTAATTGGCCATGGTCTTTGAGCGAGCCAGATTCCGACAATGGAACTATCCCTTTACTTGTGGGTCCAATTTCTTATGGATCCCAATGTAGCTTAGGAGATTGGTAGCTGAATGAGGATGCTGGCATGTACAACCTCCGAGTGGTGATACGGCGATGTGGCGATGCGGCGGAGCTACTTGGCATTGCCTAAAGAAGTGATTTCAGATACTATATAAGCCGCCCGCACTCCTTTCCCATTTCGCTGATCACTTCTCATTTACCGTCTGTTGATTTGGCCGCCATGCATATCAGTCTTGACAACATTAGCTTCTACTCTCCTCGCTCTCCTACAAAGCCCGCCTCGCGCGCGCTCCCTGCTTCCTGTTGGAGGGCCTATAATGTCTCTGTGGCTCCTCAACCCCTTCCCCGTGCCCTCCCGCCGAGACCGTATTTTCAAGAAGCGACCTTCAGCTCAACATCCGGTGCCAGCACTGATGTCTCTCTGGAATCGCGAGATACCGTGGCGGAAAATTTGGATTCACGTGCAGGCAGTGAATTTGATATCGAAATAGAGAGAGCTGTGACACAGAGCATCCAGGAAACGCACGAGACAGACTTGGACCTCCACCTCGACTCAGGGCTCCGAAACGAATGTCGCACTGACGTGTCTGAAAGCGATCACACATACTTAATAACTGGTATGTCGGAATCAATCGCTAAACCGCGATAAAGCTAATATCATCCACCAGATCATCCGGACCGATGCCCTTTGGGAGAGTCTCTTGGTGACTTAGATACGGCTTTGATCCCGGCAGAACCTCAGTTGCATCATGCAGGTAAGCGCGACTATTATCTTTCTGTTCTCCTTATCTTGCTAACTTATACAAGAACCGCCCATTGCCTCAACCGTTGCCCCAGCCGACCTGCTAAGATGGCGCCGAGATAGTATCTCGTCGCTAGGCATTTATGATGAGGCTGACAAGAGCCCTGGCCCGCCCGAAGTCAACTTGACTTGCCCGCGTGTCTTGCCATCACCTCCAACAGATGTACCAGCACGGCCTAGCATTGAAACCATTATCCAAGATGAATCCGTCGTAGATGACACCACATCCGGGTTAGAAAACTATGGAGATCAGACGGGTATTACAAGAAATGGGGTGACAACACAAATTGTCCAGGTCAATGAACCCTCAATCAGCGAGGCTGTCTCGGATAAGGAAGTAAGAGGCAGACTCACCGAGAGTCAAACGCGTGACTTTCCCCGTCTTGGACCTCAAACTCGCTCGATCAACCGATCGCAAGCCACGCTGGCAAACTCTCCATCCCTTTGTCCGCGACGAAAGGCAAAATCCGAGCAGCGAGAGCGATTTCCTGCCGTTTCCGTTGTCATCCCTGTCCGTCGAAACGATAAAGTGGTTGCAAGTGCCAAGAAGAACTCTCTAACCAGAATACGACGGTGTAGTCGCTCGAGCGATAGCGACAACGACAGTGACAACCTCGAGAAAGATCGGGTAACACGGATGTCGATGAACAATTATTCACCGTCGTCCGGTGGACCTAATTCCAAGGCAAGGGGGCGCCCACTGAAAACGTCGAAGAGGGCAAAGGGAAACGTCTTAGCTCCGAGCAATGATATCGTCGGAAAATACCCTAATCAATCCCGAACCCCCTCAGGGGGTAGTTTGGCTGTCTCATTGGATAAAACACAAGAGATTTTCGGTCGCGGAGTTCTCCGTATCCAAACTCACGGTCCTCGACAAGCCTACTTCATGACGTTCCTTCCAGAGGTTTCTCATCACCCCTCTATGCCGTCACCGTCTGAAATGCCTCCTGAACAGTCTTCACAACAGTCTTCACGCTTTGAAGATTTTTCTCGAACACATCCCCGCGACAGATGGGACGCCGAAAACGCCATAAGCGAAATATATCTACAGCCTGTGAGGATGGAGACGGGCGGGCGACCAAGCTGCCACGACACTCGCCATCTCGTGATGGCCGCAACGAAGCCCAGCGAAAGTGCAGGAGGCGCTTGCGGTGGTCTTCAAAAGAGGTGGATTTTTTGAAGGAGTTAAGAAGAGACGAGCAACGACCATGGTCGGAGGTGACGAGCTTATTTTTGGACCGATATCCAGGAAGAAGTCCTGCTGCGATCCAAGTATACTGGAGTACGTCTGGGCATCGAGAAGGCAAGACTAAGAGCGCGCCAACTACCGTCTAAAGCAAAGCATATACTTCAACCGTCTCCAGTACATACAGCTAGAAATTACATTCTGGGGAATAGCTCCGATGTGGGACATATCCATACCAGCTATATACTGTGGAAGACCCTTCGCTAATGGTCTGATAGAGAATTCCACGTATTGCCCTAGGACCCTCTTCTATAAGCATATATAACCATATATTTTGAAACTTGGAAGCGATGATAGTCCAAGTGTACCTATATCGATCGCTACGCATAATTTAACGAGAAGCTGGCTGCCAAACGTCTTGCCTATCGGATAGTACACTATATTACATGAGGAGACTTGGTTACTAAAAGGCGATCGGAAATTCACGCGCCTGATAATATAACAGAGCCAGAAGGGGACTAAATGGAAGCCCAGTGCCTTAACTAGTATTAGGCACCGTCTCCAAGGGCATTTTTCTTTCCACCGTGTGATTGAGGAGTGGAGAAATCGGTGTATTCCGTTCTCATAATCCTGCCTTTAACAAGTCGAATGTTTGGAGGGATGTGAGGGAGCATAATAATTTGGCTATCCATGTCGCCGTCAGAATCCATAGAGTCCGTATGCGATATGTCTGCTGAAAGGCTGTAAAGTGAGAAGACAATATCAAAAGTTTCGCGCTTTTTAGGAAAGGCTCACTATGACAGTCTTCAATTGAACTGGTTTTTGGCGCTCCTCCCTTCTCCGTTGGCTTTTGGCTGTAAACTGGCGGAGATGCAGGTTTGATATTTTCCGGCTCATATACAGCAGGTTCAGTCAGTGTATAAGGGCTGACAGCATTTGGGATCGTTTGCTCTAGGTTTTCGTGTATTTTCTGTTCGACTTTCGGTCCCCAAAATGCATGCATGCAGTTTGGTAGAAGCAATCGAAGCGAGATAGAAGAGAAGCAATCCATGGGGCCGATTTGTCAAACAGATTCAAATAATATGGACGAGTATGTAATAGAAGCATCAATATATAGGTTTCAAACTTGGTTGGTGCTATTTTCCTCAAACCAAGAGGATACAAGAGGGCCTATGTATACTGTTCAAGGTGGTCATCGATCGCACCTTGTCATTGAACTAAAGTAAGTACCAGAACCCCTCACTGGTGACGATGATATGTTTGTCACAGTCTAGGTGCATGGTCTTCGGAATCGTCTCATACAAATAGTATGGCCGAGAAGGGTGTTAAGCGTATGGGTGTCTGGGTCTCAGATATGGCTGATCGGCGAAGCCGGGAATTAGATGGCTATCAATGTTCCGGGCAAGAAGCTATATGTGGCTGCCAGGTGGTCATTCAAACATACGTCAGCCTGAAGCGTCAACCTTTTGCGTACTAGGGTCGAGTATGGGGATGATCGGTGAAGTTGCGGAGTTGAATGGCTATCGATTACCCTTGAGAAGGTGCTACGTTAGTGGTTTTCATGCTATCACCAAGATACCCGAGAAGCCCGTGCAAAGGCCTATCTAGCAGCCTTCAAGGCGCAAAGCGAGGCTCACTGGAATCAAAATAGTGATTCTCGTTTCATCGAAGGATTCTCTGGAGGCTGTACACTTGTGGGGAAGACATCGAAATGTATAATTCAGATTATTGATTGTCGACAAAGCTAATACTATGTAATACGGAAGAACACCAATATCCTCGCTAACACATGTTACCTAGGGCAGATTGTATAAGGATGATATCCCGTACGCGTTCCGGAAGGGATACATAGTTCGAGATAGGTCGAGCATTGAGCCGCGAAGCAGCCATTTTGATCGAGAATGCCCTGCAATGTTAGCTGATTTCGGATGTATCAGGGGACAGTCTTTGTGCTTACAGAAAAGAAGGGCCTCTTGATATACCCTGGTTTCTGCTTGATAAATCACTACGTTAGTCATTAAGCGTATGAAAAATTGATAGACGACACACTCATATATGACAAGCTTCAGCCCTCCAATGCGCGGATCATTCTGGATATTACGGATAACCAGCGGATCCTGCAATATAGCAGGAATGAAAATACCTAGGGGAGTGAGTGACTCTTCTCGAAACTCCACCCCAGTCGTAGTCTCTTCGTCTCTTACGCTTTCGTCAGATAAATAGGTTATGGCGCTAGCGGGGTGAGACTCACAGTGGTATGCCTTCTGGAGAATATTCCTGCCAACAAATAAAGAAAGCACGGCTTAGGTCGGCCATTGGGACGTTAGAAAGGAGGTTAAATTCTGGATTAACATCGACAATTCCAATGTTGAAGAATGAAGGTGAGGACATTCTGGCAAGTCTGTTGTGTGTTGAGAGATTTTGCTATAGTTCAGGGCTCGAGGAAGAGGCCTTATAGAGTAAATGAAAATAGAGTTGTTTGGGGAAAATATAGGTGCAGAGCGAGGAGAACTATATATATTCAGGCTGTCGGTGGACGACAGGCCCAGGCAACCCCGCGATATTCATGGTGATTGAAATTGATTATTTTTCCCTCAAAACTTTTATGTACAATACCCGCTGACAGAATAGGTCGTTGATTATTTTCGCGCTTCACCCGTGATAACCAGCCGCTGGATTGCAAACTGGTAGAGGCCTTTTCAGGGTTTAGTATTTTCCGGCTCATTTACAGCAGGTTCAGTCAGCCAATAGGGGCTGGCAACAATCGGGGTCGTTCGCTCTAGGTCGTCATTTTTTTCTTTTTTTGCTCGATTTTGGTCCCAAAAATGCGTGCACGTAGCTTGATAGAAGCAGCCGAAGCGAGATAGAAGACTAGCATTCCATGTTGTCTCATATAGACGAGTATATGATAGCAGCATCAATGGAGAGGTTTCGAATTTAAGCTGGTGCTTCTTCGTTCGACCTAGGAGGCTATAAAGGGACATATCTCAACTGTGCAAGGTGGCCATCAATTGCGCCTGGTCATAACTAGACCTCTTCAAGTCCCATTGGGACTAGGCCAATTTTAGTCCCAGTCCCGTGGGACTAAATCAATTCTAAGTCCCAGTCCCAGTGCACCCCACTCCCATGGGAGTGGGGTATACTCCCGTGGGGAATCCCCAATTCCCCGCCGAGACGAAAATCTACATAACTAACCTGATTAGGATGGATAAGCTCGCTGACCAAGCTAGCTTTGCATAAAAGGCGTGAATTCAGGCCAATGCAGGCCAATTTTGCTGACCAATTAGTCCCATGGGAGTACACCCCACTCCCATGACGGGACTACAGAAATCTTAGTCCCGCCAGTGGGACTAAGGTCTAGTCCCATTGCACTCCCGTTAGTACCGTGGGACTAGTCCCGCCATGGGACTCCCATGGGACTTGAAGAGGTCTAGTCATAACAATAGATCTAGCCATGGTGAGTACCCGACCCTCTCCCTGGTGACGATGATATGCTCACGTCAGAAGCCCGCCCCGATTCCCATCCAAATCCTGCATGGGCCGGCAAAAATCGCTTTGGAGGCAATGCTCTCCTTGAGAATTGCGTCTCCATCACTCTTGGAATGGAGGCCCTCGGAAAACCTCAGCCAAGATGCTAGAATGTTGCTAGATGTCTGCAATACTTTGAGAAGCAGGAGGCCCCAGGAACCCTGTCTCGAAAATGACTTACTCCTCCACGTGGTGAATATATTACCCGCTCTCAGTTATGGTACTGTCCTGATGCTAGCGCTGATGACTTGGCATTTTGATGCTTCATCTTCTAAAGCATCACAGGACCTGATTGATTTCCTGAGATGGCCTTACAACAGTGAAGTGAAGAGAATACTGGAGGGTCGATATCGAAGCAGAATGCGTGAAACGGGCTCTCCAAACTTCGACTTTTTGCTTGTCCTGAATTGAGTTCCATCTAGTGATCGGTGCAAGTACGAAACAGCAAGTGCGAAACATGGAATGAATTATATCTGCTATGCTCAACAGTAACCGAGATTCCTGAAGCGATTACAAATATCTTCAAGACGTCCCTCGTACCAGTCCTTTAGAACGTTGTGGATCTCATATCCGAGAACTTTTGCAAGGTTGCACCTTTTTGCATATTCCTGCAGGTATTTGGAATGCAGGTACTGGTAACAAAGAGCTCTCTTTGAGCCGAGATCCTCTGCAGGTTGTTGCAAAATAATCGGATCGTCACTGCTTAGAGGGACAAATTGTGTAATCCCATACTTCCCCAAGACCCGTGGAATACCAGCCTTAAGCACCGCAAGATCCACTAAGAATGCTTCCTTCGTGATGCCATGGGCTTGATGCTGACCGCTAAGCTCTCGAAGAGCAATGGCATCAAAAACCACATCGTTGAGACCGTTTCTTTTGATGTCTTCCATAATTTGAAGCCCATTAGGAGAAAACCAAACCCGCACGGTCTTGTTTGGTTAGAGTTTAATGTCAACGAGGAGTAAATGGTAACGCACGTGCAAATGAGTCGGCTCTGTGTCTCTGGCAGAAACACCAAAGCCTGAACCAGCAGAAATGGTAGGCTGCTCCTTCGGCATATCCGTTTCCAAAAGATCACTCAACGAATCTCGGTTGGGGTCTGGACCTCCGAACAGAACTGTCTCGCGCGGGTTTCTTGGAGAGAAGAGCCGGGTCATACAATCTGAAAGTAAACAACGAAGTTCCGGCATGCTCAAGCAGACCATATTCTCAGACATGGAATCTTACCATAGGAAGAAATAGATATCGGGCTGCGTTTGAAGCGACTGTCTCTTTTAATATGATGTACCACATGTTTGACTAGATTGCAGCGGAGATACTGGTTTGGAAGTATCCATTTTGCGGACCATTACAATAAGCGTTCAGCGATGTCAATAAAACGTTGTTGAACCTTTCTTCTTCTTTTGGGAAAAAAAAGGAAAAAAAGCGGGCCCCCAGATCAATTAGAAACAAATCTTCTTTGACCATGCAAACGTAGCTATTACTGCTATTGAAGGTCTGCGGGTATCTATCGGGACCTGTTGTTCTTAAGAAAATACAGGTCACTCATATCGATGTACACTGTATTACTTTAAGCTTCGACGACGAGTGGGCTCAAAAAAGCTCACGCGCTATTCCATTTTGGGCTCTAACGATTGGCACCAATCGTTAGAGCCCAAAATGGAATAGCGCTGGAATAGCGCGTTCCTGCTGTGGTCTGGTGGAGTGGGCGCAGTCGTGCACGGACAAATTTCTCACCTTGCTGAACCCCCGGGCCATAACATAAGCCGAAAAGGGCTCTCTAGGCTTCTGTTTCCGAGAGATAATGTGGGCTACAGCTGCCCACCGAAAGCCAATAACGTACTGGAGAAATACTCCCATGTAATTAATTTCCCAAACACAACTAGTTCAATACTGGCGGAATGAGGTCTTGTCAATGATCAGGGATCGCATGAGGTTCTATTGGCTTTCCTATCAAGTGTGCACTGCTCCCTTCTCTTGATCATAATATTGGCCGTAAGCAGACAGTGACCAACCAAATCGCTTTAGGAATACTGGGACTAGACCTCCGCACCGGCCCACAAAGCCCATAGCCCAACCCACCCCAGCCCATAAATGGGGCGGGTTTTGGGCCTGGCATTAGGCCCACTGGTAGGCTATGGGCCTAAGGTAGAAGCCCAATATGGTTTAATGGGCCCCCAAATGGGCCCCAAACATTGCAAACATGCCAATTCTTGGCATTTGCATAAGTTATGTAGACCTTCCTAGTAATTTTGAGTATTACAATTACCACCTGAGGCCCCTAATTGACTGAGATCTCATGGAAATCGACGCAATTCACTGATTTATGAGATTGATGAGATTAACTGATGAGATCAACTGATGAGATCAACTGATGAGATCAACTGATGAGATCGATTGATTAGATCCCAAGAGGTAAAACTATCTACATGCTAATAATGCTCATACAAATCATCCTCAACATGCCTCCTCTTCCTCCCTGATGTCCGCACTTGAGACGGTGCCGCATGAGACGGTGCCGCAGCGATAGTAGCATCGTCATCGTCATCGTCAACATCTATCAGATCACCGGATCTATCACCCTGCTCTTCAGCATCACTGATCGCATCAACGTCGACGACAGCTAGCACCTCAGCTGGCTCCTCGGCATCATCACATGGCTTTTGAGCCGCCTGAGCCTCCTCCACCAGGATCTGAATCTCATCAGAGCCAAAGAACTGCTCAAATTCCTTCGCCTCTTGCACTTCAAGATCAAACCTTGACGTACAGAGGTACAACATCAGCTCTTCGATAGTTTGCGCCTTCAAAGAGCCCCGGCGATAGTGGCAGATATCGTGTGCAGTGTTAAACAGACGTTCAACTCCAGCACCTGTGGCTGGAATTGCAAGGTAATCTCTTGCAAGTGCGGCAATAGCAGGGAAGCGATATTGATTCTCTCTCCAAAAGGAGAGCGGCTCATCAGATATAGTTAAACCTGTAAGAAATTAGTATCATGAAGATAGGGATGGTTTTTCGGCCGAAAAACCATCTCTCAAGAAAGAATAAACATAGTAACAGGAATATCCTGTATAGCTAGGGAAATACAATGGATGTACTAGGCGATTGGCGCAACGGAATCAAAAAGGGGAACTACTCAAAAATGATGAGATCAAAAGAGTGTTGATTCCTGTCTCCTATCTACTGGGATCGAGGGGGTTAAAATAGCCTCGAGAATACCTGGTATCGAATCCTCTAGAATCCCAGAGGTACCGTTTGGGTCAATACGATGCTGATCACCATTTTCCTGACATAATATCAATGGCACAGTTGCGCAGGTTATGGTAATCGAGAGTGTCCATTTTGCAAAGTCAAAGTAATTATTCCGACTGGATTGAGGATAATTATTCGGGCGGGTAGGCGTTTTTATGGCCAAGTGTGGAGCCCAGGTCATATTCTTTACTACACAAGTCGGTATTTGCTGAAACACGAAGGAAGGGTGGAAGTGACACTTTATGCGGCGGTGATCACCAGAACGGTTGAGGTGAAGAACCATCATATCAACAATCACGACCTCAACGGCTGGACCCTCAGAAATGAGCACGTTCATGTTGAACAGTCGAGGCATGTTTATCTGTTGTTGTCCCAATGATCTTCGGGCTATGCGACTGGCCTATGTGTGCAATGACTGTGGCGGATAAGAGCATGGTGTATTTCTCATTAGGTAACTAAAGCTATAAGGGTTGAACGTGCTTATTCGTTTTCTCTTGCACAAAACGTTCTCGCGAAATCCAGAAATGGAAGAGATTGTACATATTGTTCGCCAGATCGGCCAACAGCAAGCACACAATGCTTACTATCGTGACTGCTATGCTCTCTTCAAGCTA